TGCCTCCCTCTCGCTTTCGTCTGCCGATTGAATTCCCGCCCTTTTCTTCTTTCATCGCGAAGGAGCGGGAGGGAAAAAAAAGGTATAGAAGTTGAGTAAAGTCGCCTGCTCGTGCTGTTTTTCGATTTGCGATGATGAAGTGAAGTGCTCTCGCTCTGTATCTGCAATTCTCTCGCTTTTTGTTCGTCTCTCGCACCTCCTTGTACCACCTAGTGACAAAGAAGGCGAGAGCTACTCGCTCCTGTGCATGTTCTTTTTTGTACGGTTGAAGCAGCAATAAATGAATCTAAAATAATAACTGTGCTGTTCGCCCTTCTCCGTCGGCTCAGGCTCAGGGTCCACGTCCAGCAAGTCCGCCCAACCCACCCCCTGCCTCCATCTGCTCCCTTGCTCACCCCCACCTCGCTGCGTGGCCGGCGTCCCACCGAGACGACGTAATTTGCCAATTTGACGGCACGGTCAGGGACAGAAAGATCTGAGGATTATAAATGTGTCCGTCTAGACGTCTGCAGCGCGCACCCGCACGTGGACCCACAGACTTAATAGAATCCTAGAATGAAACATCTCTTTTTTTGTGGCGTCATGTTTTACGACACGTGGGAACGCAAAAATGCTGCTGCTGTCACCCCCTTCCTCTGCGTAACTGAGTCCTTCAGCAGTAATGTAAACAGGCGCGTCAAACAGAGCCATAAGTGACATTTTGGAATATCTGCAGTGTGACACAGTGTTAATATGTTGTTTCCCTGTCAACGCCGCTATGTGTCGCGCTGATCAAAACATGTTTACTTCTCTTATTTTTCCTCGTGATGAAGTCTGTGCTGCTAAAAGCAGGTGCAAGCTGCTGCTACTACTTTTGATTTTTTTATCTCGTCTTTTTCCTCTCCGTCGACACGCTCTCTCGCGCGCGGTGATTCCACGTTGGTGATAATGCCCCGGTGACGACGCTGGCTGCCCCGGCCGGCCCACCCCGCCCCGCCCCGTACTGACGAGCTGTCATCTTTGGCGAGAATATTCCGCCGGGCGTGGGGGGGCGTTGCGCGCCGGGTGGCGCCCCGGAGCCTGTTCCTCTAATGTATTTTTAAAATGCAAGAATAATTCATAAGCGAGATGCGGCTGGGCGGCCCAACCTGACAACGGGGCCTTTTAGGGTGGCGGGGCGGGGCGAGGTGGGGTCACGCCCCCGAGCGTAAGGGAGCGTCGTACAAGGGATTGACCAAATTAAATTTTACGCTTTGTTTTCCGTCAACCAGGTTTAAGCGTGGAGTATCTATTTTTCTGTGACTGCTCGTATACGCAGGTAGTGGCCATTCCGATTCTGTTGAACACTACCAAAAATACTCGCAAGGACACTCTTCTAATCGTTTTACCAGAAAATTTGCATGGTAAATACTGTAGTTGTGTGCTGTTGTCGAGCTGGGAAAAAGTTTAGCATGCTGTTGGATACTACCAAGAAATTCTTTAGTATAAATTAACTGGACAGAACTCATCGATAATGTACTCGATCACGCTCCTTTCGCTTCAGGTCTCCTCTCTTATAAGGCACCAAGGGCAAGTAACAGATTTGCGACACTGACACCCACGGCGTGTGCTCAGTACCACCCCGGCAACGCTGGGGTCGCGGTATTTACGCCCCGGGCCAAAGGGGCATTGCGGATCGGGGTGGACCAGAGCGAATCGGATTACTACTTTGTTTGTGATCACAGTGCATCAGTCGGCAAATGGATTCACGCGCTATTTGGGCGGGTCGGGATGGGGGAAGCGGGGAGAGGAGGGTGGCACGATGAGTCCGGGCTTGGCGGAGAGAAGCACTGTAGCTGGCGCTGCATCCAGACGGATTTGCTGTGCAATAACTGCGACTGCGTTGGCTCGTATTATTCATCTACTTGCAAGAGGAGCAGACACATTTCTCTGCCTTTGCTAGCTGCTCTCACTCAGTGTTCTCTTTCTCTCTTTCTCCCTCTATGTGCCTCGCACTCTCATATGTTGTGAGGCTAATAAGGCAGACGAGATAAAAAAAAAATTGGTTCCGTTTCGCTAAATTGTCATCTCTGTACTTTGTTCTACGTTGTTGCGTACTCGGAACAATGTGTGTTCTGGTGTTTGCGCGTTACGCTATTCAAACCGTTCGTCTGACCTCCCCTCCGTCTTCCCCCCCTTCCTGGTTGGGGTCGCTGTAAAGGGGGTCGTGCCCCGTCCACACATCTTCCTGCTTTGTTTACACACGTGCTTACAGACCTGTTTACCCTGATAAAAATATAGGTCGCCCCGCCACAGAGACCTCAAGGTGAGAGACGGGCGGGGAGGGGTGGGTGGCCCCTGCATTTAAAACAGCTCATTAAAGCGTCCAGGAGACGCGACGGAGTGGGAGCAGCTGAAGTTAGGTGGTGGAGGACGGGGGTGGTGTCGCAGGTGAGGTCGCGCAAGGACCTGGTGGTGCGGTGCCCTTGGCAGCCATGGCCCGTCGTGCGTCTTCTGTTAACCGCTCCGCTGCACCTTGTCTATGAGATGAAACAACTCGTATTCTACACTGTAAAAAGCTTACGAACTAAATACTTTGCAACGTTACGAACAATTTTCGTTCTTTGTATTGCAAAGAAATTGTTCGTATTGCAAATCGATTGTTTGTAAGGCTAGACGGGTCTTACGAACAATCGGTTTGCATTACGAACTATTTGTTCGTAAGCTTTCGAACAATTAGTTCGTAATACAACGCTTCAAAATCCTTCGTAAGCTACGAACGTTTTGGTTTGCATTACGAACCTATAGTTCGTAAGCAATTTACAGTGTACAGCGCAGAAATATATTTATTTGGAAAGCGTTCCCTTCACGTCGCACTCACTCACAGTTCACTTTCGATGCTATCACTCTATTTCTTACTCTTCCTATCTCTATGACATTATCTCCACCCGACGGTCGCTCTAACCTCGGCCAGCCGCGGAAGGTCGATCTAATCTCCCTGAACATCGCGTCGACATGAAAGTGAAAGGGCGAAGAGGAGATGAGTTATTTTGTTTTCTAGGTAGAAGTGCACCCCCCCCCCCTCTGCTATACCCCTCTCTCTAGAGAAAGAGAGAAAGGGAGACAGGGTTAAGGCGAGTGCGAGAGCGAGGAAGTGAGAGAGAGACCGAGGGCGGTGAGGATAGACGCGACGTAATGAAATTCCTTTCACAGCAGAGAAAATGGCCCCCTGCTCGGCGCGTTGTGTGTGTGCGTGAGTTTGTGTGCGTGTGCGTGCAGAATCACATAATAAAGTCCACTTTGACTCGACTCGGCCTGCTGCGCATGTCCAGTGGGGACGGTTACGCGGTCACGCTCCTTTTTTTTCCGCGAACCACCATGACCGACGGCGGGGACGTCCCTATGGCGAGGAGGGGAGAGCCATGAGGGTCGTCCTGAGGGTGGACGGGGCTGGCTGGGTCATAGGCAGCTCAGCTCACGCGTCTCTGTTGATGGAATCGAGTTTAAAGTTGCTCCTGTGTGCAAACTCCAATTTAGACTGTAAATCTCGGATGGCCACTGCCCCTGCTTCCTCTCCTCTTCCTCTGTGTATCCGGCTATCGGCGTGTGGCCACTCTCTCTCTATCTATCTCTATCTCTCTCTTTGTCTCTCTTTCTCTCGCACTCGTGCGTCGCGTTGACCCCACCTGCTGATGGTTCGTGTTTGTCTTCCCTCGGCTCGCCTTGCAGGGGGAGGAAGAGGGGCCAGCAACAGCCCCTGATTGGTTGATCAAGGGAGGGGATTAAAACAGAGGCAGATACATCCATCTATATATCTGGACAGAAAGAGAGAGTGAGAGGAGAGAGTGAGAGGGAGATCGACAGGAGTGAGAGGCATTGAGGAAACGCCAGCGGGATGGACGGGTGCTGAGTCTGGGTATTATGGAGCACACAGGAAGAATCAATCTCTGTGGGATTTCCGCTAACCATGGAGGGGAGGGAGTTTCCTTTAAAAACAACAAAGGGCCAACTTTCCTCGTTGATTTTTTTGCTCTCCATTAACCAGCTGCTCCGCAGGAGCGCGGCTCATCCCGGCGGTGGGGCGCGCAGCAGCAGCAGCAGTGCGGGCCGGATCGTGTTGGCTGAGCCTCGCGGAGCCGCGCGGAGCAGCGCGTGCTGTTTGGCTATGGGTCAATCAATAACGTGTTAGTTTTGTGCGCCGAGCACACCACCAGTGTCCAAAAGCTCGTCGGGATTGGCAAGTAAGCTGGCTTTATTGGCCCATGAGCGGGCGCGGGTCCTCTCTCTCCCATGCTCATCGCGAACCCCCCTGCCGTAAAGAAAACTCTCTCTGGCGGACGCCAATGTCCCTCTCTCGCGTGAGAGATAGAGAGGGGGAGAGTGGAGCAGGGAGAGCAGAGCGCGCCCTGCTCCCGCACGCACGCGCGTATGCAAAATAATTATCACCCGCATAATCATAACGGAGTAATCCTTTAATAATGGAGGCGCATGTATATATAGGCCGCACCCGTATGGAAATGGGGTCGCCGCCGGCAAAAAGATGGGGCGGCTGCTCTATCGCCTCCCTCCAGCACCGCTATCCGTTCGATCCGCACAATCCGCAATGCCGTTTCTGTATTTTGGACTCTGGCGGGTGGTTTTTGTGCCTCCTTTCTGTCTGTCGGTCAATTTTACTTCTTTTTTTTAAATATCATATTGTTCTTTCGTTAACTGTTAGCCGAAATGGTGGTATGAATGGGGAGGAGGAGGCAAAAGCAAAAGTGGTGAGCGGCGGACAGTTATTGCACGAGTCAGCTCGGTCGCGTTTATAGCTGCTAGTGCTGCTGTGCGCGCTTCACCGTCATACTGAGTACTCGAAGTGGAACGCGAGTGCGGCTCACTGTTCTGTGAACATTTCTTGCACGAGCTGAAAGATGGGGCCGGCCCGGTCGCGGGAGGAGGGGGGGGGGGCAGTCCTTATCGCCTTACCTTATCGCCCGTTTAACCCTTCCTTCTCGCTCCAATCCCCCTGACGCTTATCTCGACCTCTCTCTCTGTTCCAGCGAGGCGTCGGCGTGGCGGGGCGTGGCGGGGTCATGTCGAGCTAATTCGGATTGATGGCCGCAGCCTCCAGACTTCAGGTGGGTGAGTGCTCTGGACCGAAACGTCCTGCAGGATGCCTATATGTCTAACGGCGCTGGCATCGTATCCATCCTCCCCACATCAATTTATGACATCAGTCCAGTCATCTCAGTCTGGGGAAAGGCACAAAGGACACAACTTCAAGAAAACAACCCTTAACTACTAATAATACGTTACTGGACGTTATCTAACCAAATCGCAGATAAAAGCTTAACTAAACAAAAACAAAAACTTAATTCCTTCCATAGTTTGTATGCAATTACTGGATTTGTATCTTTAATTTTTAGAATTTCAGTAATTTATACTAAGGCAAATTTATCGAATTTAAGCCACTTTGACAAATTTGCACATGAACATACAGATGCATTGAGCGCACGTCAAGTCTCTTCCGGGTTACGCTATCGCTTCGTTCACCCGACAACCTAAAGACTTTTATTCCGTATACGTAACGGACGGAACGGGTAAAAAATCAATTATAATCCCCAACACGTGCCTGCCATCGCGAGAGGCCAACGACGTCGTCGTCAGGCAGGTGATGTTGTCAAGGCGGCGGCGGCGGCGGGATTACTTTTTGTTGACATGCATGCATTGCGCTCCCAATTGTGCACGTGCGACACGGCGCGCCACGCCACGCCCCTCCATGAATGCCAAGCGTGAGACATAAACTAGCATTTGATGCGAGTGATTTCGTTTCTCAGCAGTCTCTCTCTCTCCCTTTCTCTCTCTCTCTCTCCTACTCTCTCTCCCTCTTCCTCGCTCTATCTCTCTTGTTCGCGCGCACACACGTGATGGGCTCGTGAGTTTCTCCCGAATGCCATTTATAGAGTAGAGAACATCCTCTCCTCCCCCGTGCTCTACATGTTCTACATCCCCTCCCTCTATTCGCTTCCCTCCAGGGTGCGCCGCGTGCGCCCTTACGCCCCCCCCCAAACCACTACGTATATAGAAACGTTGGCGGCATGGATGGAAATTGTCTGAAGCTAAATTTAGAAATCCACCTTCGATAAATTCGTGAGCGCGCGCGCTTCGCTGCCGCACGTCGCCATCAGTCTCTGCAGCCCCCCTCCCTCCCCCGCTCGGCCGCCCTGCCTGCCACGCCCCTTCCGCGCTGGAAACAAGATTGTGTCTCTCCATTCGGCGAAAGCTATTATGTATAGAAAAGGCTGTCCCACTTCTTCTTGTGCCATCAGACTGGCCGCGTTTTTTCGCGCCTTTGCGTTTCCCTTTCCTGTCCCTATCCTGTCCCTCCTACCTCCCACTTCTCATTGCCCCCTCCAATCTGCCCCGGCATGAGCTCACCGCGTGTGAGGAAATCCGCGACCATGTTGCCGTCACTGCCGTGGCAATCGTGATTATCCTGCTGGTGGGATTCCTTTCCCTCTCCCCGGGGCGTTGTCGTCGTGTTGTTGCGTGTTCCAACGGCGGTTCTAGCGAGAGTGGTCGTCCCGAGCTCGCCGGCTCGACCTGGTCTGATCTCCAAATACTACACACTGATCTTTTCATACACTTTTTAAACAAACCCGTTAGAGCCTTCATGCTTTCTGGTAGTGAACCGAACCTTCTAATGTCACTAGTTCGCTCGATGTTCTGCGCCTGCGGTGGACGACCACAGTCTTGCGGGGACGCGATGTGTCAAGGCTAACCGCTAGATTACAATCTTTTGCGTGCAGCATCCCACCATCCTACCCGCTCCCTTCTCGCGCACGACGATCCCTGCTTCGACACGCGCGCCGCCTCATCCTCATCCCCCACCTCATCACGTCCCCCCGCGGACTCGCCCATTTAAGCTGTCCGCAAATTTCTCGAGACGTTTGCAAGTTTCCGCGGCGGGCAGCGCATTGCCAGTTGCATGCCCAACAACTTTTAGCTCCGCCCGGTCCAAGTTGCGCCAACTCCCCGCGCTCCGGCCCGCTCCCCGCCCGCCTCAAGCTCCCCGCCTTTTCAAAGGGCTCGGGAGGGAAAGCAGTTCATGGCGGGGGCTCTAATTCAGCCGAACGAGAGATACCAACCCGCTCAGAGAATTATTCCCACAGAGCCGAGAGGGAACCGGAGGGAACTGACGACTCTACTCCGCGTAATGTTATGTATATGCTTCCCACTGGAAATACTCATCATCCCCCGACAGCCACCATTAAATGAAGCAGTCTCACAGTTAAACATTGTAAGTTTTTGTTTTTAAATTTTTGTTTTTACCTGTAGGCTGGCTTCACAACCGCGCGCGGCCTTTCGTCCGTTTTCCATTTTCAACCGTCTCGTTGTATCTCGGTCTGGTCGCTTACAGTAAAAGTATCCCTCGATTTAGTTGTGCAGAGTATCCCCGCCTGTGTGTGGCGGGCGGGCCACGGCCGTCTAGACGGACGGACACGCCGCCCTTTGTCTGTGCGATCCAATGACTGGCTCTCAGTGAGTGGAAGTGTGGCAGCCGCCGGTCGGACCGGGCGCCTTCACGTAGTCCGTCGGCCCCGCCCCGCCTCTGGCCTGGACTGCGGCTGGCCACTCAGCCCTGTCTGTGACGTGCGCTGCACACTGCAGCCTGATTGGGCTCCCCCCACCACACCACCGAGGAGTCGTGATCGCTCTCTTTTTCTTCCTCAATTTTTTTTTCGCTGCTTTTTTTGTGTGCGGTTGTGGACAGGACACACCGTAGGCCAGACCCCGCCACAAACTGTGGCTTTTGGTTGCAAGGACAGGAAGGCAGGCATATAGGATACTTTTTTTCCTACTTCTTTTCTAATTTTTGGTCGAATTTTTGTGAGGTGAGTGTGCTATATTTTTGGCTTGAAATCGCTTTGAGGCGGGAAACCTTTCAAGGAAGCGTAACAGCAACTAACTTTTGACGCACGTCGCGGGTACTTTCGGCACTACACACGCAGCGCCAATATGGCGGGGGTCTTTGTGTTGTAAGGGCCGCTTGCGGGCTGCACAGCGGCGCACGGTGGCGAAGGAGATCTGATCTCCGACCAGGAGCAGTGCGCCCCCGGCAACGCCCCTGTAGCTCGCTGCTGTAGCTGCAGGGGCGCAGCTGTTGCAGAGGTGTGTGTGTGTGTGTGTGTGTGTGTGTGTTTGTGTGTGTTCGTGTGTTCGTGTATTTGTAACCGGGGGGAGGGGGGTTTGACGGCCGATAAAGGTTCCAAAGGTTTTGCCCAGAGAGAAAAGGTGCATACCCCTGCCCCTTTTCCTTTTTTTTCCTGTTTAAGTTATGCATACAGCTGGGATGCGGACCAGGTCAGGTGCACCTGTGTGAGACAGACTGACACGTTTGCGCAAGGCATGCGTGTGTGTGTGTGTGAGAGAGAGAGAGAGAGAGAGAACCAGACATATGAGGGGAAAAGGCCACCCGGAAAAGTCAGTCGGGTAGGGGGGGGGAGGGGGCAAGGTACGGGTGCGACTGACAGACTGCATTTGTGATGGCGGGTACTTTCAGCCCAGCTGGCGCTGCAAAGTGGCAGCGAGATCAGGTACAACCGGGTACCTTCCAAGAGGTAAATCACACGCGCGACTGGTCGCGTATAGTACTAGATCTCCATTCCTGCTCTCTTTTTCTCTCCCTCTCCAGTGGAAAATGTAAACCCTACTCATGTGAGTATGTGAATTTGTTTTTACATCGTCACAGAAAGCAAGGGGGATAACAGCACCAAAACAAAAATAAGGGCAAGAAAGAACAGCGCGCGAATGGAAACGCGGTGGTGGCCGTCGATATAAACCTCTTGCTTGTGTTGTGCGCGCGTTGCGTTCGGACCCTCAGCCATCGTATATTCCCGGCTACCAATGGCGCGATACTCGCTACTTTCTTGCTTTTTGCTGCTCAGTATCGTTCTCTCTCTCTCGCTCTCTCTCCGGAAGACACAGTCACTGCTGAGATAAGAGGAAGGAAGAAAACGCAGAAGCAGAATGGAGGAGAGGAGGGGGGGAGACGGAAGAGAAAAGGGCGGTGCTCCGGCGGTTTTGGGTTGTGCGCAAATGTAGAATTACTTTTCCTCCAAGGCTGGGCTGCTGGTCCCTGGTCCTCCTGCTGCTGCCGCTGCTGCTGCCCCCTGCTGCTCCTTGGCTTACTATGAGGAGACGTGCGCGGAGCGGATAGCACGAGACGGAGGAGCTGTGAGCGCGGCTTTCGTCTGGTTCTTTGCTGGTTTCAGGAGGCATATATGAGTTTTCGTCGTGTAAACATTGTAAGGGCGCTGGTGTGATGTTTGGTTCACGAGGCAGGGGCTCCGCGGGGGGAGGGGCCGTCGTGGCCGCTGCGACGTAAAGCCAGGCCTCCCTCTACCCCCC